TGGTGGAGAAGTTGTCGTCCGCCAGCACCATCTCAGAGGCCGTCTTGGCCACGGCCGTCCCCGAGCCCATGGCGATGCCGATCTCCGCCTTCTTCAGCGCCGGCGCGTCATTCACTCCGTCGCCCGTCTGGGCACAGGGATGGCATCACCGGGCTGCCGTCGAGGACCTCCCGGCGCCGCGGGGTCTCCCAGGGACCACCGTGCCCCAAGCACGATGCCGAACCCCCAGGGCCACCCTGGAGAGATGCCGACTCCCCCAGAGCGATACCGGACCCCCAACCCCAAACCCAGAACGATGCCAGACCCTCGGGACTGCCCCAGAGAGATGCTGAAGACCCAGGACCGCATCAGAATGATGCTGGATGCCCAGCAGAGATGCTGGACCCCCCAGGACCACCCTAGAGCAACGCTGGAGCCCCAAGACCACATCAGAGCCATGACGGACACCCCCGAGTGCTGCTGGACTCCCTCCTCCAGCGCCTCGTTCTCACCATGGCTGTGATCTCGTCAAAGGACTGCAGGAACTCAACGATCTTGGACTTGTGGGTGGGCTCCACGCGGGCGAAGCAGCAGGCACGGTGACAGGCCTCCCGCTGCTCAGCGGGCGGCAGGTCGTCGAACTCGCGGCCCGTGTAGGCCCGCCCCGTCACCTCCTCCTCCTCACTGAAGATGCCGATGCGGCGGCAGATGGCGATGGCCGTGCCCTTGTTGTCCCCTGTGATCATGATCACCCCGATGCCCCCGGCACAGCTGGATTGAGCCCATCACCTCCTTCCGCGGCGGGTCCAGCATGCCCACGCAGCCCACGAAGGTCAGGTCCGTCTAGGGGGACGTGAGGCGTTAGGGCAGATGTACGGGAACAGAGACCCCAGGGAGGGGACGTTATACACCCGTACAGGATCAGGGATCCCAAGGGAGGGTGTTGCAGGGGCACGTGGGATCAGGGACCTCTGGGAAGGGGGTCACACGTCTGTACAGCACTGGGGATGCCCCCGAGCTGAGCACCAAGCCCCCGTCCTCACCTCATACTCGGAGAACTTGGTGGAGTCCTCGAGCATCATGTCCTCCTTCTTGGGGGGGGTGTCACGGGTGGCCAGGGCCAGGCAGCGCAGCGTGTCCCGGCCAGTGCCCCACTCCTTGATGACGGCAAGGATCTTCTCCTTGACGGCGGGGGGCCGCGGGCCCCGCGGGGGGGCCC